GGGGGGGGGGGGGGGGGGGGCATCCAGGTCGCTGGGACCAGCAATCAACGGTCGCAGCCGCGTGCCGAGTGTACTTGATCCGCACAATCTAATCTCCGGGAGCGGGGGAGGGGGCCCATCCAGGTCGACGGACACGTGGCACTCATCTGGAATCCCTGGGCTTCACGTGTTTGATACGGCTGACGTGGCTGTCATTTCTCACTCTAACTCCTTCCAATCCTCCTCCTCTCTCTCCTCCTCCTCCTCTCTATCCTCCCCTTCCTCCTCTCTATCCTCCTCCTCCTCTCTATCCTCCTCCTCCCATACTAGCACTTTCTTCTTCCCTGCTGCAACTGCGGTCGCTCCGACGTACATCACGCGCGAAATTGGGGCGCCTGGAGGCAACAGCAGCTGCTTTCATGCCACGTGGGATGCCCCGTCAGCAATCGGAAGCCATCTATCAAATGCTACGTCAACAAATTTTCCCTTGTACAGGTCCCCCTCATCAGATGATCGCGATTTGCCAAGTGTTGGCTCCTTAGCCGACGCGCCGCCGTCCGCATGGCATGCCGCCGAAAATGCGTCATCGTCGGGTTTTGAACTGCACTCGATTGATTGCTTGTCTGTGTGGGCGGGAACACGGACAGCAGTAGCAGAGGTACTAGGAGGAGGAGGGGGAGGAATGGGGGGAGGAGGAGGGGGTCACATGCCTGCGGGGGAGATCGCGATCATGGGCAATCATCATGGGAGAAGTAGGCCTGGCGTGGAGCCAAGTTATGGCCCGCCGGACAGCGGAAGACGGGACAGCCGCCATTGGGACGACGGACAGGAGGCAATCTGTGAGTCGGGACCCGGATTGGATGCCCTGTGCGAAGCCTTCCCGCACGTGTCGTTGCGTGAGATCAAGCTGGCGTTTTCCCGCGCGAAAGGGGATGCGAATTTGGCGGGAGAATTGTTGTCATCGTCGAGTGGAGGAGGAGGCGAGCAGGAGGAGGAGGAGGAGGAGGACGAGGAGGGGGAGGAGGAGAACCTGATGAGGAGGGGGCGCCTTAGCGTGGAAGCGTCACGAGCGGGGCTGCGGCGGTGCTCGTCGGAGATGGGCGAGCAGTGCTGTTCGCGGCATCCGATGACCTCGGCGGCGACGGCGGGAGGGGGTGGGGATTGCTCCCCCTGCCGTGCCCTCCAGGAGCCCTCGTCTCCGCCGTTGACGACAGCCGCGGGCTGGGGTGCTGCTGGTTATGACTCCGCCTCACCACCGTCGTCGGGCAGGATGAGGTCAGGCGGAGGAGGGGGGCATTATGCTGGTAATTCTAGTCGCGGACGACTCGACGGAGGAGGCCAGGGAGAGGGCAGCGCGTTCAGGGGCGGTGTCGGGATCGGGACGGGGATCGGAATCGAGGTTGGCGTTGGCGGGGATCGACGTGGTGCCGGCGCGCAAGCCAGAGACCGGGGCAATAACGGAGGGGAAGGTCAAATGATGATGCTGTTTCGGGGCAGGGAGGACGTGGAAATGTCGCGTGGAGGGGGAATTAGATCGGGACAGGGGCTTGGGGCAGCAGCGGATGGGAGTGTTGGCCGGGGGAAGGCGGGGCGGAGGAGGAAGAAAAGACCGGGAAAGCAAAAGGATGGGGTGGGGGTGGCGGGAGGGTGGGGGGGGGATGGATCTAGCAGCCCAGGCCTCCGAGCAGGAACAGCAGCATGTGCCGGAGGAGGAGGAGGAGGAGGAGGAGGAGGAGGAGGAGGTGCGGATGGGACGTGCACCGGGGCGGGGATCGGGATGGATGGGGTAGTGTCTCCTCCGAGATCGAATGCGCAAAGGACGAAAGCGTCAGCTTTGACGTATACGGGGAGAGAGAGAAGGGAGAGTGAGAGTGCTGAGACGTACACGAGGGAGGAGGATGTCCCCCGCGGAAGGGTGGGAGTTTGTGATAGGCCGAGCACTGTCAGGACCGAGGCAGATGGCGACCTCGAGTCGAAGCGAAAAAATGCAGAGAACTTCATGTATTGCATGCTTGGGGATGGCGCCGACATCAGCCTCGGGATTGTCAGTGATGTGCTCGGTAAGATCCTTTTTTTTTTTTTTTTTTTTTCCAAAAACAAATGCATATTACCAATCAGTTGAGTCGAGGCCGGTGTTCTGCCCGGTACCAAGTCCCACTAACAGCGTTGAGCTACCTCAACGCCTGAATCTGGACGCTTTTGCGGAGATGTGCAGAAATCGGGAGAGGGGGGGGTGGGAGGAGTGGGGGGGAAGGTGGGAGGAGGGGGGGAGGATTAAGAAAGGAGGAAAGTGAGAGGACGACGAAAGAGGGCGGTGGGAGTGGTACCGCTGGGCTCCCAGCACAAGGAGAGAACTTGTTGAAGTATAATTATGGAAGAAGAGCAAAAAAAGAGCAATTTTTGATAGGGGAAATTGCTGAAATGCCCCTGAAAGTTGGGGTTTTAGTCAGATACCCCTAAAATCCATGGGTATGGCGAAGTGGCCCTATGACGGTTGGAATAACTTTGAAGGCATCTGGATTTGAACATGAGTCTGTTTTTTTTTTTTTTTTTTTTTTTTGAGTAT